ACCTTCGGGGTCATTACTTGCCACTATCGCAAAATTAGAAGGTGGAAGCTACGTTGAACGCATGAAAATCATAGCTATATTCAACAACTTTTTTTTCCCTCCCAAAGCAATTTACTCGATGGAAGTTTTGTTTAGATTTTTTAAATATAATAGCGACGTTGGAGCCATTAGATAATAACTAGGATTTGTATGGATTTATAGGAAATTTAAATGTACACGAAACTATAAAATGCACGCAATACGGAATGGTATAAAACAAAAATATTGAAAGTAAAGATTGTATTATAATATTTGCAGAGTAAAATAAATTCCTATTTAGGTTCAATTTTTGTAGCTGTACGTTTGGAAAGATTTTATTTTTCATGAGGATCCACCGTCTAATGAATGATCTTCTTTGAGTGACTCAAATAGACGTAACTGATTTTATTTTCTAGGAGAGAATTTGTAGTAACTCGAAGAATATCACTGTATTTGGTCGTGGATTCAGAAGGCTGCGACTGTTTAACACAAACATCGAACGTTTGAACCAGTCGGCAACGCTAAGCGTCGATGTTGCGAAATCGTTCAAAGCTAACTGAATGGGTTATTTGGCCCGTCAATCACTGTAATTAATTATCTGTTTAGCAAATCGAAAAGGCAATTTCCTAGCTCGTGATTATTACGCTTGTCACGGTTCATCCTCCCGTGGAGATTATGGGGAACGTTCTCACTGGTATAAGAGGCATAAGATCCTGCCTTAACCTTTTAACTGCTGTATACTCAAGCGAGTAACGATATTATTCTGGATGCTGAAGTTAGGAATGCGAGTCGATAGTACTATTTTACATCAGGAACAGTTTTACAATGTATGTCGTTATAGTGATGCCAGTTGAGGGCAAAAGAACGAATTAAAAATGTATTACAATATTACTTGACAAATAAAAATTGAAAGTTGAATAATATAAGGCTTTCCAAAAATCTGAACATCTTTAGGTTTTTTGTTTAGATTTATTAAATAAAATAGCGATGTTGGAACCATTAAATGATAAGTAGGATTTGTATAGATTTTTCGCAAATTTCAATGTGCACGTAACTATAAAATGCACACAGTATGCAATAATATAAAAAAATATTGGAAGTGAAGTTCGTATTATAATATTTGCAAAGTAAAATAAATTCCTATTTAGGTTTATGTATGGTATTAATTAGGATTTTGTTGTTGTTTTTTTTTTTAATAACAAACCAGATATCACCTTCACGTGTATTTTCATTTAAAATTAAAGAATCAAGTACGTTCCATACCATTTGTGTTTAATTAAAAAGCAACATTTTAAAGCCCGTTTTATAAAACCTTTGGAATGTAATACTTTACAATGAATCAATAAAAATTTAATTGTTCAACGAAATAAACGTCACGAATAAATTGCCGTACGTTGGTTTCGAGCGTTTTCCATTGTTCGAATAAAATATTGCCCTGTACGAAACTAATTCTGTGAACGTATCGCTCAAAATTGCCTGCCAACACGTGTGCTCGTAGAAAGTGATAGGTCTTGAACGGAGGGATGAAAGATCACGAGGAAATGATTGCCCACCGTTTCATGCGGCGAGTCGTGACCCGTCGTTGGTAGTCAAAAGGTAAGGTAGGCTAGAAGGTTATTCGAGAAGGAGGAAAGAAGAAGACGAACGGAACTACACGTTGTTCAGCTTTGACGTTAATTTTCGCGTTATGAAATAGGATAGCTAGTCGCGAGAAAATCATAGGTGGAGAGAACATCTTTTGCATTCCACTTAACCCCGTGTCTAACATGTTCTTTTTGTGTTACATACAAAGTGGCGACTATTTTATTAATAGGATTGTTTGATACATTCGCCCGTGGCTGAGTGTCACGTTTGCAAATAATTTATTCCGGGCCATGGTATTTTATCAGAAGTCTGTTTATTATTCGACTCTCGCTAGATGTAAAGAAGATTTGTGGAAGCTTTACAAAGATGGTTTTTAAGAAAATTTAAATAAATGTGAAAACAAGCGAGAAACTCATTCGCAAACTGAAACATCGCCAGAGATATGGTCGAGTCTCGCAGTTCGTGATGAGGATAACATCGTCTCAATCTGATGGACATTACTGTAAATCGAACAATAAGAAAGCCTCGAACGCAATCTTATCATTCCTCGCGTTCCTTTTCGACTGACCACTAAAATCATCCTGTAAAAGATTGCCCACTTGCATGTTAAACATCCTGTAGATCTCACTCCGAAGCAGTAACACGCTGGGAACGATGGCTACGCGTAGAAATCACACCCTCGCGGCGGGAATCTGCTTCTCCGCGTGGAAGCAGTTATCAGCGTCTCGCGCGTCCGCGTTGTCCTTTATTTGTTCGTCGGAGAAGAACGCCTCGGCAGCCCAGCCCGAAGGATTTTGTTTTTTATTCGCTCCGAATGGACGCCTCCGCCCGTAAAATAGAGGCTCGTGCCGGCGTGACGACGCGAACGAGCCTTGAAATGATGCTCATTGCTGCGGAATCGTTTTTACATGGGAATCGGTATGTTCGTCGCGCGGACGACTTTATGCTTCCGAGCAGTTGATTTCCGCGCTCTGTGGTGCGTTTATCGCGATGGAATTCGCGTTGGAAGTCAACTCAATCTTGTGCGATTCGTGTTTGTTCTTGTTCGGTACGGATAAACGATTACTCGACTCGTGGATGTTTATGCTAATTTATATTTTTGTACCCACGGATGGAAAAGAAAATCAGATTAAAGTAAAAATAAAATAAAAGTTCTTTATTTTTGATGTTTTATATATTTGTACATTCGTACACGTCCTTGTTCATTTTTGTATGTATACAAGTAGTGCAAATGTATAAATATCCACGATATAGCAATTACTTTGCAACTGAGAGATATTAATTTGATTTGACTTGTTCTTCACTTTACGTATGTATCATTCCGACTCCCTAAGAGCAGACAAACAGAAAGCCTCGCACGTAAATGAAATTATTCAAACGGATGACGTTGCAATTAATTATGCGTCACTGCACACTTCCGCGATAGCCACGCATTGCAATAATAATCGCACGCGAAGCTGTACTTCGAAATCAACGAAAATAATATTCCAACTCGCGAGTTCCTCGAGCATAAAGAGAATAACATTTATCTAGCCACGATGGATAAACAACGCGCGAACCTTTCCAGACGGATAAGTGGCTGGGACGGTGTACAAACGTTCCCGTATTGATCACTTGGATAGAAACTGGGTTAACATGGCCCGTCCACCCTCTTCTATCCTCTTACCATTCCACTTACCGTCAATTCGCCCATCTCACAATACAAATCCAAGTAACTGCGCTCGACGCCCCGGTTGCGAATCGAAACTTACCCGCTAAACACATTACGACCGACTAGGGTTTCGACATCTTCGATTAAAGCCATCGCGAGAGGCTTGAACGTAATAATTTTCTCGTTAGGTTCCCCTGGCTGAGCGCACGGCACAAAGATCTCTGTGTTCCCAAGGAAATGCAACTGCCGTGCAGCGTTTCACGTCGTTCCGATTAATACATTCAACATCTTAATAAAACGGTTATGTTAAACGGTGAATGAATGAGCCAATTGTTCGGGAATGTTTGTGAGAATAATACTCCAAGTTGGAGATCAAATAGAGACATATTTGAAGCATTCCGAAGAGTTCAAGAACCATTTTCTTTTTAAGAAAGTTGGATGTTATACGTTCAGAGTAAAGAATATGAAATTCGAATTTATTCGATTTTACTCGAAATTAGACCTGAGATTGGGTATAAATGACTTACAATTTGTTTCCAAATATTATTAATATAATACATTTTCATCGATTATAAGTATAACAGACATTTGTTACCGAACGAAAACAGCGAAAATTTGATAAATAATAATGACTGCAAATAAATGTACAGAAATAAGTAAATAAAAATAATACATTTTAAAAATGACCAATGATAATAAATAAGATTATTGTTTAAATAATACTAAAACATTTTTATCGAAGAATAGCATTATATAAAGGTAGCAAAATTATTCAGAATTGAGAAACATAAATACAGGAAACAGCCAAGTATCACATTCAATTTTTGTCCATTTGCAGCAAAACAATTGCTTGATAAAGAAGGCCAGGAAGAAGAGTGGCAATAATGATAAACATTTTTTGCTTCGTTGTTCGTCGACGCGAGACGCGGCGAAACGCATTTTCATTTTCTGGCTCAGCGAAATCCATCAACGTATCGATACGAGAAACAGTCGACCAAGCGAATCGACGATTGAAGTCGATGGTCGACGGAACAAAACCAATCTTCTGTGACAGAAAATGTGTGCGACGCGGGGCGGTGCGGGGGTGCAGGACGGGGGCGGAAAAATTGCCGTCGACGCGACGCTCGCGATTACTTTCGCGGACGATGTTCGAGGCGAGCGAGAAAATTAGGCAAGCAATTCCCTCGACTCCATTTATCATGGCGGTCGGTAATTTCGATAACGACGTCGATAACACGGCCATAAAACTGCGGTCGCCGCGAACGAGTGCAAACATATAGCAACGAATTATCGCGCATTACCACGGCTCCCGCCTTCAACCCCGCGCAAACCCCGGAACTTTGCTAAGTAATTATTTAACCGGTGCATCTCGAATTGTAAATTGCGTCGGGATTAATCGAATTTACGACAGCCATTCGTCCACCTCGGAGGCGCCACCCGGAGGAGGGTGCGAGGAAGCAATTACTCCACCCTGATTGATACATTCTGCTTTTAATCATTAAAATTTCTTTAATATTGCCTCATAACGTGTTATAAGTTTTAAACAATTTACTCGTTGCTTAATGACTTTTAATATTAAGCTAGCAGCGCCACGATTTTCTTGAAAATGGCAGGAGGTACAAAATTACTATTTGTGGTACAAATTAGAACAAAATAAATATCCCACCAAGTCCGATATGATTCTGCCGATTTGTTTGTGCCAGGTTAAGAGGGGTCTATTACTCGCGATAACGATAGAAACACTTACCCATGCTGTTCAGGGAGGATTACCGAGACTGTATGAATTAATGTACATACCTGTAACAGAAACGAAAACTGTAATTAATGTCTGGGCAATGAATCGGAAGCAAAGCGCTGTATAAGATAGTACAATTTTGTCATTTTCAAGAAAGATTTATTGTAATTTAGTTTCTTTCGTCTGCATTATTTATAAGAAGACGTTTAAGAAGTTCTTTATGGATTAACATATTTTTATAAAGTTGATGGAAATACTGCTCAAAAGGAACAATTCAATTTTTTTCTAATATAAGTGCAAGATTTATTTTGTATTATTGTACAAGAACCACGAACCGTATCAACAGACGGTACTCTGCGACCTACTTGTAAGGAGCCTTACTATAATCCCTTAAAACAGGAGAAATTCGAACAAAATTACAGGGCGCGTGTTTCCTTTAACGAGCAACCGTTTCCGATAACAGATAGCGTTGGTAACGAAACCAGATGTAACCCGTCGGCAGAGGTATCGAGGAACGAAAAAGGGTCGGCCGAGAAGTGAAATGTAAATCAGAAAAATTTACATGGCGAAACGGGCGCTCGATCGGATACAAGTGCCAATTAGGGAAAACGCGCGACAGAAGGAACGCGGGGCGCCGATTAAAGAAGTTTATTTCACGTTACGGTTTAAAAGGTACACAAAGTTTGTTTAAGATTCCGTATCTCATGGTTTTCCACTTTTATTATGCAGAAATGAGGCGCGTCAGCCGCGCCTTTATTCCTATTCGTGCTATCGTGCCATCTAGCATCGACTCGAAGCCCAGATACAATGAGTCACAGAAGTATGTTCGCACTCCTTTTCCAACTAGTTGTCTTCAAACTCGTGCGATTTACCTTTTCAGCAAAATATGTTCTGCCGAGCTTGTACTGATATTAATATGTAGGGTAAATTAATTAAGCTTTAGATTGATTTCAATTTTTTTCTTTAAATTACAATACGAGAACGATACGATGCACTTGTAGAAATGAAGTATATGAAATATTTTTATAGTAGTTTTAATTTGTAGTATTTGTAATTAAGAAATCAACAATATTTTTATTTTTATCTTCATTATTTCGTGTGTATTAGATTTCAATACAGGGAACCCTGTCTAAGAAGCGCTGACTGTGATTATTTGAGTCGTGCCCCTTAGACGTCAACAGGCCTCTTGTTTTTTTTTTTTGTTTTTTTTTAACGCAAGGATTGTTATTTAAAATATTTTATGAAAGCAAACTACTTTGGCTATGTGAGGGTATGCCATAGATAATATCTCTTTCTGCATTTGATTATTTAGCATAACATTTCTTAAATAGAATATAATAATATAAATTGTTTGGTACTCCCTCGGAGCCCTTTTTTATGACACGCAGCATCATTAATTTATTCGATAATTGACTATAACTTCATTCGACATCGAATGAATGTGCAAAGGGTAACATTTATTATGGAACACGCTAGCATGTTTTTGATCGACGACGATTCTACATTTGTCCCAAAAGGAATATGAAAAATCTGAAGTCAGCAGACGAGTACGAATACTCGCTCGCCGTACGGGTCTGTCAGAGGAAAAAAGGACATAAATAAAGGAAAATGAATGGAGAGAGCCGAGGGAGAAGGAAAAGCAGGGAGAGGGTGTGACAGACCGAGATAGAGATAGATAATCTAATTTGCAATCCAGTCTCGGATCACGCGCGGCGAACGCGGAATTAATGCCGTCGAGAATTGATCCGATTTAAAATTCATTATCCGTCGATAAAGCTTGAAACCATTATTTCATTTGCGCAAGATTAACGGGTGCACTCAGCTGGACAAATACATCGATCGATGAGATTACGAGTGCGCATTCTAGAATCTAATAAATTAGCGACGTTACCCGTTCGCCCGTGTAACTCCATTTTCGAGCTGCGTGCACGGCATCACGGTCACCGTTCTGTGTTTTACGATACCGTTGATTCCCTATAAATTACCAGCGATAGCCATCCCCCGGACTCACGCTCGCCGTAGAATAGAATATTCGCGTTACTTACGGCACACCGTGGCGTGTAATTTATTACACCCGGTGGAAAATCGTTGCTCGGTTCTGATATCGGGTCAATTATTTCTTATAAGGGGAGGTCGTGATCTACCTGGCCGAACGGTCTTTGAGCGAGACCGGATTGAAACTACGTAAGGAGCAAACCAGTAATGGGTGAAATTTAACTCGAGAACTTGGTCGAAAAGGGGAAATTTTTAAGATTTGTTTTTAACAGATTTAAGACAAATTACTGACGTTTGACTTGTGTCTCTTATCCATACCGTTGTGTCTTTGAAAATAAGGAGTGGAGACTGGTTCCCTATCCTAACAATTTTCACCATAAGTTGCAGCAGAAACGTTATCGACAATCCAGTAACTTTGAAAAGAAGTCCAAAGTACATGTTTGAATCGATCGCCTTGGTTATCGTGTTAACTAGCAGAGAGTAAATGAACTTATTAGACTGTATTCAATTTATTCTTCTACAGTGTTTTAATAAACAACGCATAAGAAGTTAAGTTCAAAAATTCGAAACTACTTTAATCGCATAAAAATTGTTAAAACGGTGTAAGAACTCGTTTTAAGTTGTACTTTTAAAAAACTAGAATTTAAATGCACGCTAGAGGCTGCTCCAAAATTATCCTTTATCCTTAATTAAGCAATATAGAATAAATAGAACAATAAAAAATTATCCACTTCCTCGACTCCCTATTTATAAAATTATCCCAGCGATGCAACCCTTTCGTCCCAACGTTTCACGAATGCTTTTCAGTCAAGTGACTTACTCCACTTTTCCAAATCCTATCTCACCTAATCCCCCTTATCCGGTTCCATCGTCTCGCATATGTCGAAGAAATCATCCTTTGATCCGATCGAGAATCTGACACCGTCGAAGACACTTTCGACTGGCTTCGATCGAGGTGAAACTGGGTATACGAAATCTTCATAATGCGCGTCATCCCCGTGGACGGTTTTATAGGGTTATAGGCAGGGTTTCTTTGGTTAGGGGCGGAAGAACGAGAGGGTGACTCCGTCGCGAGGAGTTATTGATTCCCTAGACTTGGCCGGAGCTTGAGAAGAAGAGATGAGAACCGAGACGTACGGAGTACTGGCGTGAGTTCGTTGCAGTTTCAGTCAAAGTCAACTCTTGTCTGCCGTTTTCCACGGGAAAATGAAAAAGTAAACAGGAACCGAGGGGAATATATATCCTGAAATTACCGCGCACCTACGATACGTTGGGTGTGGGTAGAAAAAAAAGACAGAGAGAGAGAGAGAGAGAGAGAGAGAGAGAGAGAGAGAGAGAGAGAGAGAGAGACCGCGGCGAATATTCACAGTCGGAAAATACCATTATATCCTGCAATAGCGTCGCAGTTTTAAAACCGTGTTGCCGGTGAATGCTGCGAATTACTTCCACGGCTCCTTTCGCTTGGGAAATCTGACGCTCGAAGCGATGAAAAGATTTTGCTTACTGCGCGAAATCTACTTTGGCTTCAGTATTTTGTTTACAGAGCACTGAATAAATTCTTATTTAATACGTCTGGTAATTAGAGGTATTCCTGAAACTCAAAGGCGCATCTTATCGCTGTAACAAGTTTTCTACTGAGAAGATTTAACGCCGAGCAACATACGCATGTATGTATACGACATTTTCTACATGAATTTCATATCCTTTTTGATGTCAACAGTTTTACATGTTGTTACATTCCGAATCTTGTTCTTCTATCGCGATAAAACTAGTATAACATCGTGTAACATCCCCCCAAAATGGATTTTTTTTCTTTTATTGTATATAATTATATTATACATTTCATTGCATTAATTGTAATCATTCCTTAAGAAATTCTCCCTTTGTATGAATATTAAGTATATGTGTATCTCTAAAGCCAAAAAGGACTAGGAAGCTGTAAAATTCGAAACGTTCATTTCCAGGCTGGTTGACACGTTGGGTGCCAAGCTGAAACTCGTGAAAATTTCTATAAAGTGAAAATTTTGTTTCGAGACTATTAAAGATTAGATAATTTAACATCTGTCGTAGTATTTAATTTTGTAACGTCGCCAAATTCACGAATCATGTCCAGATTTATTTTCGTTGTTGTCTCATCTTTGAAATTAATTGTTCCCGTTTCTGGGTGACGTGACGACCAACGTGTTCATTAATTTTACATCAAGCAGTAGCTCTAATATATTCCCCTAATTTCAGTAAATATGATTCAACAACCCAGTTCTCATATATCCACCAACACACCGGAATCAAACTTTTGGCCCACGAATCGTCACTTCCCACAAAATAACCTTCCTACACAGCTCCCCTAAAAAAAGTATACGCCACAATAATGATCGTCATAGATCGTTTTCACCTTAGCAATATCAATCAGTTGGTTGAGAGACTCGGTCGGCTGGAGAGCTCTGTCGCGCAGCTGAGCTTTCCGCGAAAATCCGAAGTACAGAGGAGCAAGGAATCGGAACCGTTTGGCGGAAATAGGTACGGGCAGAGGTCGTTCCGCTAAACAGAATAAAAATTCGCCCCATCGAATCAAGAAAACTATTTGCCCAGCCGGCTATGGGGCACGATTGCCGGTTAAACATTTGCTTCGCGGAACGCGGGCCACCGGTTACGGAATAACGGAGAAATGGGGCGGACCGAAGGAGCGTGGAAAGCAAGGAACGAGGAAAGGAAGGAACGTGCTGCAATTTTAGCCTTTTACCCTTTTATGAATTCTAGAACTACCCCCGACGGGACTACGGCTCCTCCCGAGTTATGCGGTTATGCAAAAGCTGAGTCAAGCGCGATTGGAATTACGCGCGGTGGCGGGCAGCGATAAAGGTATACAGAAATTGCAGTTTCTGAAAGTTCCTCGACGAAGGGGGATGGAAGGGGTTTAGTCACCGGCTGCGACCTGCCTCTTCCACGGCTTTCTTTGTGCGAGCTTATACGCCCCGTCGGTAAAAGACTCCGGAAACGCGACTGCGAGGATAGGAGAACGAGGGAGGAGGGCGTCGTTCAAAACCAGCCAGGACTGACTTTTCGCTGT